GAATCTGAAGACACAGAATGTTGCCTATTGGAGCGGAAGGCAGAACAGGCGAAATGATCAATGTATTTTCACCTACTAGCTACATCTGACAACTGACTATTCTCATATGCAACCATTTCAAAGCTAGTACATTTGATTCAAAATCAAATGCCCATTTTATTAGTAAATGTGACAAAAAGTACCAAAGACAACATATAGGGTATCAGCAATTTTAAAAATTATATTGCTAAAAAGAATTCTGTTTTGTTTCATTAAACAATACATCTAATCGCAGCTGTTTTTAAAGGGATGCTATTTTCTAATCTAATGTATACAGGGACTTTGATCATTGATAATCACGCACAGAAACTTTACATGTTCCATTAAAGAAGTTGTGCACCCAATAGGAGATAAGGATAAGCAAGTACAAACAAGGAAGGCAATTATTGCTCAATTCATCTCGAAACTTCCTCAGCTCCCCATCTCCTAAACATGGTATCCAACTGAATCTCTCTTTTTTTTGGCTCTATTTAGAAGAGCAGAATGACTGTCTTTTAAAAATTTCTGAGACTGCTCCCAAATTTGTCCTGTTTCATTTTATGGATGAGAAAGGCAGAGAGTGAAGTCTCTCTCTGCAGACTGAATCATCTGATTAAAGATTACTTGCACTGACTGCCCTGTGGTCCAAACTACTACTTCCTCCTTATGGATGTTGTCTGAACTCCTCCTGCAATTCTGCTCCATTAACAAAATGATCAACAATGCACTTATTTTGTTCCCAACAGTGATATCTCAATCTAATTGATTGTTTAATAAAATTCATGAAAACTGGGGAAATATTTTGTCACAGATGATATTAATTTAGTGTTTTTCAGGATAAGACAAAATACAACTATAATTCACATTCACACTAAAGACATAGCAAATGTTATGTGCAGGTAAAATTACCAATATAGCAATGGGAAAAAAAGCAAATGATTTACTAGAAAGTTACAATGTTAAATGCCTGTGTAATTAATGTTCTAATTTTCAAGTACAATGGGAGCCCATTTGCATAAAATTTTCAAAAACCATTTCCTGACCAAAAACTGTTATTCTCGTAGCTATGTGAAAACTACCCAAGATCCTCCTATTATAAACACCATACTGCGAGTATACTTTTCTGAAAGAACTTACACAGAATATCAGAAGCACCGATATACCACTTTAGTGAATTAATCTATTCTGCTACAATAGACATTTTTAAATCAACCTGTTCAGATGCGTTATAATACATCTCAGTAGCAGATGGGGCTTGAATTCAGGCCTTCTGGTTTGGAAATACAGACACTACCATTGCAGACAGGAGAAAAACATCTGGTACAGTATAATAAAAACCAAACAAGATTCTTGACAATTACTTTCAGTTCACTGACACCACATGGTTTTATTATTCACCAAATAAGATTATGCTTGGTGATAAATGTAATAGCATATATTATCCGAGGAACTGGGATGAGTTTGTTGTTTCAGTTATTGGATCATACCAAGTTGTAGACTCCCTGGAAAACATTCAGAGACAGTACCTTCAATAACGTGAAACAGACTACAGTCACAGCATGCAGAAAGACTTGAATTTATATTGAACCTGTGTACATGCTTCAATTAACAATGAACTCATTTGAAACGAAAGGATCAGTTAAGGAGGCAAAAACAGTGGCTATTATGTGCTTAAAAATGCATTAAGATGAACAGTGAATTGTTTTGTTTTTATTAAAGTGACAACTCCTTGTATCTCTCAAAACAGTGAATAGAGACCCCCAGTGATGAATTTCATCTCTATGAACTCATGCTCATGCATAAGATTAAAAATCTTCTAGAAAACGTTTGAAACAAACATCTGCGTTGGCAACTTTGATGCCAGAATTTTAAATTAAGCCACCGAGCATTTTTAAGCACACTTAACAGCATCCTTCAATTTTCAGGGCAATAGCATTCCACCAAAACACACAATTAATCAAGAACTTATTTCAAACTTACACAGTGCACAGAATAGACTTTAAATTCCCCCATGATCATTCCAAAGGTATTACAACCAACATGACTGATGAATAACCATATTTGGCCACAATCAAATGTTAAGAAAATCAAGGACAGTTGATTCAGTTCCCTTTCATGCTGTTTCTTCTCATGAATATTTTAGAATGTGCAGAAATGTACTAATGTGCTATTTGTCATGTGAACAATCACGAATGATATTTAAAAATTAAACATTTCATGCTTGCTATGATCATTGTTATCAAAGACCTCACTGATAATTTTTTTGAACTTTTACCATCTCAGCAGAGAATGTATGTTGTGACATTGTTCACTTCTAACTATATGAAGAATTAGTAGCAGTCAGCAAAATTACTACCACTAAACAGCAGCCAGATAGATGTTCTAAATATGGTTTTGTTTCTTTTTTTAAAAAAGCTTTTAAGAGAAAGATTTACATAAATTGTGAGGGAAGGGCTTTTTTTCAGCAAGATACTGACTATTGGTCAAAGCATTGTACGGGCAGATCTAACAGTGAGGGGAACCAGTTGCAAGCACGGTAGGTTTCCAGACCAGGGTGTGTCATGTCATGTCACCTCACATGGTTGCAGGTTAAAGTACTAAAATCAAAGGTATGTTACTCATGTTCCTTAATAACCATGCAAAGATCTACAAATAACCCATGTCCTTTGGATAATCGGGTAAAGTGCTCATGCCAGGTGTTCAGTCTTGAGTAAAAAAATTAAAAATCAAAGCGAGATGTTATATTTGTCGCCTGAAAATTGATATTTAATCGGCACTTTTCCTGTGAAAAGCATTGGATAAACTTGCCGTATAATTTTCCAACATTAATCTACGCACGGTAGGTCCTTAAATAGAGAAATTACATGTTTCATGAACTGCCCTGCAATGGATAAAACGAAGTGAGTGACATTTCCAAAGAGCTCTGCAGTGCTCCCAATTTGATTTCTGACGGAGTTGCAATCGTACCCCAATAACTTCCAAGGGGAACTTTATTGCGAAGCTTATAAAGCACCGTCAGCTGGAATCATTCAAATGGATAAATGTTTCCTTTTCCTAAAGGAAAGCTACACAACCCGGCCTGTCATCTGCCGATTATAATCTGATCAACCCAAGTCTGTCACACACACTCGGGTCAAAGCCGGTCTTGGTGGTAGAGAGGGAGGGTGTGTGTGTGTGTGTGAGCGCAGAGGGCCTACACGCGAATAGACCCCCACCCACCCTCAGGGTCTGTTGACAACACCAGACCAAGCCTCACAACAAAGACCGCCCCCCCGCTGTGCAGCGGTACCGGGACGATCCTACCTGTCTCCGCTGTCAGACCGAATGTTATTGAAAACGAAAGGGGCTAATCGCGCCAACGACCCCACGGATTCACACAAGTCCCCTCATGCGGGCCCGCTGTCCACCCCTTCGCTGTGGCAACGGCGAGTGGCTCGGCCTCGGGCACCGCTCCGACTCCACACTGAGTAACTTCAGACGCTGAGCGGCCGCTACCTCCTGGCCTCCGCCATTGGTTGTCACAGCACCGATTGTTGCTACGACACAATGGCCCGCCCCGCACCTCCTCACACGCAAAAGGAGACGCTCATTGTGACGCCATCGCGTTTCCCACATTTGGCTACGCCCATCCGCTAACCCGGATACGACGTGCGACGTGTCTCCTCCTCGGTCTGCCTGTCGCCCAGGGATGTAATGTGGTTTATGCATGTCTCCCGGGCTGTTGCGAAATGCTGCTTTAATTGGCGTATGCTGTTTGTTTCTAATTCGATTCCTGTTCTTGTGTTAAAAATGACAATGAGCAAATGTCCTTCAAGGCGGGCTGGAACCAGTTGTATCAGTCTGGAAGGGCAGTGTTGTGCAACAGGTACAGGGCACCCTTCCGTCGATAGATGAACTGCACACCAACATGTAATGGTACAGACGGGTGTCTCCATGGACAGTTCCTTTGCTGATGGCTGAAGGTGCCAATCTTTGGCATGCAAGTTCTGTCCTGAGCACCACACATAAAGGTGCCACGTAATGTTATCAGTGTTGCTGTCGGTCATCGTGGTGCCAAGGCCACAGGAGATTTTACCTTTTTTCTCAACCATCCGGTCATGGATCTCAGGTGCAACGATCGATGTCAAGGGCCTTCGTGTCATTGTTGTAGGCACTCCCGAAGCAGAGCTGTGCATGTCCCACTCTCTCCAACTACTTACTTCATCATACAGAAAGTTCGCATCTACATTCCATCCTGCGGAACAAACAGAATATTGCAGACACTCAGCAGGTCTCGTAGCATCACTGGAGAGAAAAAAAAGTTAACGTTTCAAATACAGTACTTAACATTCTGCATAACAGTCATACTAGACTCGAATGTTAATCCATAGAATCCCTACAGTGTGGAGGTAGACCATTCGGCTTATCGAGGCCACACCAGCCTTCTTTCTGTTTCCACAGATGCTGTCAGACCTACTGAGTTTTTCCATCATTCTGTGTTTGTTACAAATTTTAAGAGTTTGCAGTATTTTATCCTTATTGCATCCTGCAAACATACCCTGAATCAATGAGGCCACTTATATTTGATGAGCACCGTAGAAACAAAGCACCTCCTTTGAGACTACTCTTGCATTTGTGATTTTGCTCTGCAGATATATCCATAATGTGCCACAGCTTGCAACAATGAAATTTGTTGAGTTTCTTTATAGCTGTAAGTTGTTTACATTTCATAGCCATGCAGCCAAGTGATAAGCTCAGAAACCTTGGCTTGATGCCAACCATCAGATTGATGTCATGCATATTTTGTGAGTTAACAACCTCATGTGAGTATTGTATGATATTGTTCATCAAGGAAAAAAAAATTGTCACGTTTCAAGGAGAGCATTGGAAACCACAGCATTTTAAATAAGTCATTTCATGAAGGATGTCCTCATACTACATTGCTACAAGCTCGGCAGAAATGGCTTGAGCCATCATCATCGTGGTACATGATCAGCCTGTTGAAGTGACAGTCCACCAATTATTAATATACAACATTCCTCCTTTACATCAGACGTTTCTGCAACAAAAACATGTACATTCATACATAACAGTCAGTAGGTCAGGTATAACAGTCAGTAGGTCAGATGTTCCGGAGGACGACAATTTCTATGTGGCTTTTGGCATACTTCAGGTGTCTGTACATCTTTCTCGTCGGCTTTTCTGGCCATTCCCTTTTCTCTACAAGCTATTTGTACTGGCTTTTCTGTTTCACATATAAAATTGGCTGTTCTTTTCAGTTTTTATGTTGTGAGATTCTGCGATAAATTGTTTTACTGCCTCATTTATAATTGCAGTGGTTCTGGTTTGAGAAGCCCCGTTTCACATGCACGCTCTTCTGAATCCTTTGGAGTGCTTGATGAATAATCAATTTGTGTAAAGAGTCTTCCTGAGATATTTAATACATATGACTCTTTCTAATTCTTTTTGTCATCCTTAAGCCCCTTCATGAAAGAATCAGGCTTAGAGGTTTCACAGCTCAGTTCAATTTCTTCACTTGCTTTTGCCACCAATTTCTTCACTTATTTTTGACACCAATTTCTTAAGTTGCTTTGTAATTTCTGCTTGTTTTTCTTTCGTCATCAATGAAGCTTTCAAGCTGAGATTTTGCACATGGAAAATGAATTCGCCAGCATTAGAAAGGGCCAACTCCTGAGCATTATGGCTGCATTTTTGGCCGGTATTAAGTGCCTCAAATTGTTCATTATCTTTCACTAACAGCCTGCTTACAGTCCAGTAATATTCACCAATGCTTTAATGAGAAAGTATGCATTCAGAAGATCCATTTTCACCTTTAATCTCTGTGCCCTTTAGCCATTTTGTGATTCCAATGTTCAGATCTTGTGTGTTTGTCACAAGTTCTTGTTCCAGCAATGCTTTTACTCAGGTCACGCATTATAAAACAAAATGGTTTTCCATTATGCAGTCATTCATATTTGTCACTTGAACCAAGAACCGCATCATCCTTTTTCCAGACAGGATTGACTGTGAGCTTCAGTACTTTTCACACCAGGGTGATCACTGCTCTCTGAAGGATTTCATGAGCTTTACTTACACTTTAAGGGAAATAGTGATCTATTGATCTTCTGAATCACAGGTATATTCTCCCGCATCTTCTTGTTGCAGATTGTAGATTGATAGTTCAGCAATAGAACCCAAATGCTTTACTTCATAGTTATAAATGGGATGAAGCTCCACAGTCCCCTTTTCCCACTCTATGAGAGAATTAGGCTTAATAAGATCAGCGCAGAGTGATGATATTATCTTCATCAGCCTCCTTGTTCTGAAGCACTTATGTGAAAAGTACAGGAAGGGCATTAACTTTCAAGGAAACACTAATTTGTTGGTTCCCAATGTCACAAATATATCTTCCACTGTACTCTGGTTTAAGTTTGTGAATATCAAGCTCAATGATGGATGTTTTGACTTCATATCATATTTAGCATGAGGCTGAAATCGAGTGGATCCTCTTGTCCATTGCACTGTTGTTTCGGATCTGCTAATTTCACAATGCATGATAAGTGTATCACCCTCTTGACCTTCTTCATTGTGAAAGGTTTTACTTGAATATTATCGGCAAGGTTGCAATTGCCAGATAAGCTCTTGATTGTGCATTAACAATGTCGCAGGTGTAGTGGTCACTGTCGATCTCCTCGAGCAGATTAATTGTAAAGCTTAGCAAATTGCCAACCTGGTTCAATTCTTGTTTGGTTTGATTTCTGCCTCAACCTTTGGTCTGATTGCAGAATGCACTGATCTAGCCTTGCAACATTTTGCTGGATTCTCATGTCTGATTTTCACTTTGACAGAGATCTTTTCCGGTTTCCCAGACCCCCATTGAAAACAATGGCATGTTTCAGATCAGCCTCAGAATCTGACAATTGATTTTCTTCAGCCCAGTCGAGTTTAATTTTGTTCAACCACACTCTCCCCAATAAAGCTGTAAAATTTCCTTCAACAATGTGTAACGACGAGTCTTTAGACTGACCATGTAACTGAACATTCATATTGATACAACCCTCTAAAGACACTGCTTCACCTGTGTACATTACCAGTACAATTTCTGAAGATTGCGGCTGTTTCTGATACACATTTTCCAGTATCAATGAAACCACCACTCCAGTGTCTACCTCCATTCTTACTGATTTAAATTCAGTAAGGGAGTGATCCAGGATCAGTTGGCGTTGCCAGCAGATGCCTGTATATTTAATATTTGGACTAAGAGCCTGGGCTTTTTCCATGCCCTTTTTGCACTGTAGATTTTCTTTCTACTCTTCAGTTTCTGTACTTTTGCTGCATGTTGTTCATGTTTCTTCCTCAAACATGCCTGTTCAATATGCCCTATCTTTCCACATTTTCTGCATACAGCTTCTTGAAAGTAGCTGTTCACCACTACTATATCTGTTTCTTCATACTGATGGCAGTTATGAGTCTATGGTGATGCTTAAATCTCAGCTAACATTTTGTGAGCGTTCTCATATTGTGAGCTCTAATGCTCAAGTTTAGCTTTTAAGCTTCTTGGCTGTTAGTTCCATCAAGTCTGCTACTTCCAATACTTTCTTTAAATCTAGGTTCCTATCCATTAGTAAACTCTTCTGAATTGCTTCACATCTTAAACCAGGCTGCCTCTGATAGCATCATTTGATATCATCAAATCTCTGAGTTAGCAGTATTCTACTAACATCTTTAAAATTGCTATGAACTAGGAGGTAGATTCACCATCATGCTGGTTGCATTTGGGGATTCAGAACCTATCAACAGTCACCACTGGTTTGGTGCAAAATGGCTCTGTGGGATTTCTACTATTTCTCCATAAGCTTTGGAAGCTGCCTATACCAGACTCCTTAGGAGGTTAATAGATTATCCACCCCATAATACTCGGAACACAGCGGCAACTATATCTGCTTCAATTTTGTTTGCTTGAACAAAATATTAGAATATCTCCATGTAGGAATTCCAGCTGTCTGTATTTTCATCATAGTATCGTACAGCACCAAAATTTCCTTACTTTTTTAATGTTTTTTAAATGGAAACGATCTGTTAAGTAAGATGTACCACAAAAAGTTTAGTATGACCTTCATCTCAGTTAAACAAGGTATTCTGAGGCTGCCTGTTTCTTCCGATTCTATACCCCGACTCCAAACATTACCCTTCATGTTGGGTACACATTACTCACTGTTTCTTCAGAGTGCAGTATGTGGCAAGCTTCTTCTGCAATGTTTCTCTATTCCTTGGGATGGAATTCTTTTTACTTAAACACGCTAACTGTACCTGTCTTCCTTTTCAAAGTGCCTCTGAAATCTGCATTGAGAACCACGATTTTATTTTTTTCGATGAAACAGTGAGTGGATTGCCCTGTTGGATCCCTACGCAGTTTTTACACTTGTCATTCAGTTTTCCTCTTGTACTATTCAGAGCTAATCTGAACAAAATAAGCATAAGACGATATCTTGTCTCTTGGCTTTTTAGAGCCGTGTTTTGCGATTTTAATGTTTTTATTTTCTGGCAGCCAGCTGCTGGTGCCTCAGTTATAGCTTTTAC